GGACGCCTGATTTATTTCTAACTTCTCTCTTCCCCCCACCCTCCTCGTCGATAATTCGAATCGAAATTGAAAGAACCTCGTTCGAATACCGAATGTATTGAACCCACGGCGCGTATATAATTGTGTATCTGTCTTCTCGATTGCAACATCGTCTCTCGCAGGAACTGTGGTTATCGATATTGCAGAAGAAAATCTGCAGGGAAGGAATTCAGAACCGGTTGCAACAAGATAACCTTAGCGGCAAATTATACACGCCATCTACATGTGTGCGGCTCGAGCATATCGCGTCGCCTATACTTACATCGACAATTAACGTTACCGGCATTCTCGCGTATCGCGTATCGTTATTTGCGAAAACTTTTCTACTTTTATTCTTCCAATTTTGTATATATATATATATTTTTCTTTTTTCTTTTCTTTTTATCGCTGAAATTCCTCTTTCACGATTTCGAACGTTTGCAATTAAAATACCTCTTTTTCGGTATCCCTGCACCGTTCCTTTTATCCTTGGAATTCTATTTTGGTATTTCTGTGTTGTTGCTTATTTCTGGAATTCCTCCTTTCTTAGTCGGTTTTTCTCCTCCAAGAATTTCCCCTTTAGTATGGAGCTTTCCCCTTAGACCCGGAGTGGATTCCGAATATGGAAATCGTTCCGAGTCCCCGCGGAAGCGGAAACTCCAAGAATAATAGTTTATTCTCCGCCATTAATCCGAATTCGTCTCGAATTTCAGGATAATCGAGCGATCTTCCTGCGGAAACGATTTTGGGGAAAATGGCTATCGAGCAGCCATCGAGCTCTAAACTCTCTAAACCACTGAAAGCCGACAAGCGAACAAGTTTTGCCTAGAATCCACAAGAATCAACGAAATTAAATCCCTCCTATGAGAAATATATCCCCCCTCAAATCCCCATCCCCCTCATCCGATTTGTCAACAGCATACTTCGTTTCTCTCCCGTCCCTTAATGAACCGCGCAAGATAAAGCGACGCGCGCATCCTCGTCGGTGTCTCCATCTCGCCACGACTCTCCATCGAACAAATGGCGGGACTGACCGGCCGCCTCGTCTCGAAAACGATCGCTCGAATAACCGACCGCACGATCGAATCGAGCGATGATCCGGTTCCACGGGGGGGCGATCTATCCTCGAAGCGGGCCGATTATGCTAATGAACCCGGCGGCAATAAGTAACGAACGGAACGATCGTAAATCCTGGAGCGCGTACGAGAGTTAGCATTCTGACGACAGCGCGAGACGGTTCCACTCCTGCGTACCACTACATCGATTTTAACCGACTCGACGATACACGGATGCAACGTTCGTTATTTCGCGCGTGGCTCGACGACGGCCTGTCACCGCTCATCGCGG